ACCTGGGACCTTCCGCATGCCAGGCAGAGGCTCCTCCCCTGAGCCGCAGCACCTCCCCTACTTCCACCTTCCTGGAAGTGAATTGCAAAACAGGAAGGCAGGTGCTTGTTGTTCCAACAGGTGGGCTCTCCTCACTCAAGGCCAGGTGACCATGGGCGACACCTTTCTGGCAGTCACAATGGGGGGATTCACAGGCAATGGCGTTGCAAAGTTCCCTCTGTTGTACCGCTCGGTGGAAGGGGCCTTGTTCAGAGACGGAGTCCACAAGCTTTCTGCCTGTGATGGAGCAGGCAATTCTGCATCCCAGTCACCAGGGGACACTTCCCGCTCACAAGTGGACCGGCCTCTGGAGCTCGTTTCCAAGGGGACCGCCCACAACTGTATTCCGTACAGCTTTCCGGCTCTCCGCTGCCTCCCACCAGCTCCTTCATATGTCTGGAGAATTCTGGCTGCCCATTTTAATCAGCCCGCCATGCGATTGGGTGTGGAGGACACCGCTGGAGACGTGGTCGCCGTTGGGACCCTCTTGCCCACTTCACGCCTTGGGAGACCAACGCCACCTGGCCCTTGCCACTGCAGGACAATGTGTTTGGACAGTGGCAGGCCAGCGTGCCCCAGGGAAGGGAAGGCGAAAGCTGTTCAAATTAACTTGATCTTGGCTCCGAAGGTCTTCATCCAGGCTTGGCTTGTGAGCACTGGAGCTGCATTTAGACAAGTGGCAGGTAATGGGGAGAGCTGTGAAGTGCTGGCTGCTCAAGGGCCTAATTACACCTGTACTTATGCATCCCTCTCCCCCCCCACCCCCCCCGCACATCACTTCCTTCCACCCATCAGATGATGATGATGATGAGACCTATTTATAGGGGCAAAGTTTCTTATTATTCAGCGCGGCGAAACTCTTGCCAATCAAATCAGTACCATCTGCATCTTTGATTGCTGCTTAATAACACTGTGGAACACTTTAATTAAAGCTGGATATAAATAGGCTTCGTCACTACCCCCCCCCCCATTTTCATTTTGACTTACCTAGGTAGCTACCACCTCCTTGCTTATTCTAAATAAATGCAAATTGAAGGATTCTTGGCTTGGAGACTGAGAGATCTCCACCCATCCACGCCCCAAGTAGCTCTGCCGAATCAGTTTGCCTGGCTCTCTTGCAGGGCTTTCCTATCTGTTTTTTGCTCATCTGGAGCAGAGTGCCTAATGTCCCCCCCCCCCCAACCACGTGCAGCCAGATCTACTGGCCAATGCAAATAAGTCTCGATAGCGTAGCAAAGCAGTGTCAGAAGCATTTGCACGTTCCAGTATGCGTGTGTTGAAAGTAAGTTGTCTAAAAGGAACAAAATTTGTGATGTCTGTCTAGGACCACCAACCCCAAGTGTTGTGGCATCCTGAAGACTAATTGTATTCTTCTGCTACAACGAAGTAAGTCATTCATCTCGAAGGTATTGCAGCGTTGTTAGTTCAGTTGCTGGAGGCTAAAGCTCAGATGAGACATTTACAGCTTGCAGGGGTCAGAACACAGGTACCTGTCCCTACTCACTGTCATGCGGAAAACAAGGTGTCTTCGAGTTCTCCCTTTCGCTCCGGAGCACTGCAAGAGGAGGGAGGAGGGACTTGTGGCTTCCCTCCCTCACTGTTTTCGCCAGGAGAAATGGCCATGGATGACCCTGCCCCGTTCTCTGGCCCTGGGTACAGCTTAATATCAACCACCGTTTAGTGCCAGTGGAGCCAGAGAACAGAAGCAAACAGCCCCCCCCCTCCCTGCGGCTGTTTCCTCTGTTGAAAATGGCAAGGGATGGAAAGCAGAAGTCCTTCCTTCCCTCTGTCAGCGCTCCAGGTCTGCACTGAGAACTGAAAAGATAAGATATCCTGTTATCCTGTGTGACAGTCTGGATGGACACCCATCTGCTGACCCATGGAATCTGTAAACCTAACTGGAGCCTAACTCAGCCACCTCTGAAGCACTGGCCCAAACAGATACCCCCTAGCTCACAGTCCTCCTAACCTCTGTGCTGTCCCAGCTCTCCCTCCTGTGAGTAGAGAACGGGATGCCCGGCACAAAATGTAGATGTTGTTTTTGAACGCCCAGCAACTGTCTAGTCCTTTACGGCTTCAGAGAGAGAAGCATTTGAAATGGTGCTGGGTGGGATTTCCATTGTTGGTGTAACTCGGCTTTTCTGTTGGGTGTGGGTAGAGAGTGCACAAGCCTTAGAGCTTTGTGCCCACAGATGGCTTTCGTCTTTGCTGGATTTTCTGTTTTCTCTTATTTGTTTGGAAGTGCCACCCGTCAGATGTGTGGGCTGTCATTTAATTCCAGGTTTTCTGAGCAGTATTCCTCGTTTTGCTTCAGCTGAGCCAGGGCTTGTTCTAGTCTTGTTTGCCAATTCCTTTATTCAATATGGGACACACACACACGCACCATGTTTATTGGCATACACTGACTGTGCAAGGTGAGCCCTGTATCTGGCACGTGCAGATCCTCCAACCATTATTGCCTTGCTATTGGGGGATTCTCCCAGTTGGTGATTTGAGGCTCCCTGCCTGAGAACACGCTCTAATTTCTCTTTATATACAAGAATATCGGAGATTACGCCAGTTATCCTTCCTGGACCCTGGGTTTGCAACAGCTCCTGGTTTTGTTCAGCAGAGGGCATCTTCTGCTTGGCCTGCATCTGTCACAAAACCATTTGGCATTGGGTTTTTTTTCCCATACTGATTTTCGAAACTAGTAGCAACTTCAAGGGGATGTTTTTCATTTCATCTCCCCGCAGTTGCAGAGCTCCGGTTTGTCATCTCGAATTGATAGCTCTCCACGCTCCTGACTTATTTGGATGATGGAGCTGCTAACTGCTCTGACCCCACTGTCTGATGTTCTCTTTATCATCTTCTCGCAAAGGGAGTGATTCTGGCGCCGGGAGGATGCAGCTCTGTCAGAAGCGCAGGAAACAAAGAGCCGATCAGCAGGGAAGGCGATGTCCTGTTGGCGGGGGAAGGCCAAGCTCTTGTATGGTCCTCTGGCCGACCGTTTAACAAGAAGCAAACTGTGCTTTGACTTCTGAGCACATCCTTCCAGAGGAGCAGGATGGGTGCTCAAGTTGGCGGGGTTGGGCAAATACCTCCACCCAGAGGTTGAAGGGTCCTCTGATCTTTTCCGGCACCCCATACAAAAATGAGGGATTGTGCTCTCTACCCTCCACCCCGCTTACGTCCTCTCTGGTCTTGGAGCCATTCTGCATTGGCTTTTCCCTCCGTTGTTTTACCAAACCCACCTTGGAATAGAAATTCCCCTCTGCATTGCATGCCGCTTTCACTTTCTTTGATCATCGGGTTTTATAGTACCCGCTACACTCCATGCTGCTTTCACTTTCCTTGATCATCGGGTTTTATGGTACCCTCTACACTCCATGCCGCTTTCACTTTCTTTGATCATCGGGTTTTATAGTACCCTCTACACTCCATGCTGCTTTCACTTTCCTCGATCATCGGGTTTTATAGTACCCTCTACACTCCATGCCGTTTTCACTTTCTTTGACCATCGGGTTTTATGGTACCCTCTACACTTCATGCAGTCAGTATGGCATTGCCCCGAGGTATTTGAATGTGGTATTGAGCTGCACCTTTGGTAAAACAACGGAGGGAAAAGCCAACACAGAATTGCCCTCGGTTTGCAAACCCGTAGCAAGATGCTGTCTGGAAGTCCTCTCCTGTGTAAGGTTCCGTGACACTGAGAACGAGAGGCAGTGACTCTTCCTACCTTTAGATAAATAAATAGTCACTGTTGCTTTTTTGCTCACCTGCCGGGGCGAATGAACAACAGCAGCTTGCTCACCTGCCTTCTCCCTCCAGTTGTCGACTGCTGCTCCTCCTGGTAGCCTTTGCTCTTAACTCAGGTAGGTGAGTGACAGCTAGAACGCTGCAGGCACTGCAGCGGCCCTCCTGACTACCCATCATGGGAGGAGGGGAATCCACCTCTGCTTGTGGGGGCAGCATGTGTATCGAAGAAGGGAGGAAGGATTGGCTTCTGGGAGGTGAGTGATGGCTGCTACCCTGAACTGAGGGCAAGTTGCGACTGGTGCGGCTGCGTAGTATCTGCACATCCACAGGTAGCGGGGTCTGGGCAGCTGCCTAACATTTCCTCCCCCACCCCCACCCCGACATTTGCCCTGACTGTGGTGCATTGCCTGTGTGTGGATCTCCCGATCCTGGAGTGGGCCCTGCAAGAAGAAGAGATGGCAAGGGTTGTAATTCCACCCAGCAGGACGCAGATTGCTGCAACCCCTGCTGCTCTACTTTTTGTCATGATTAGAGGCCGTGGTTGGTGCATAGAGTGTGAGCTTCATTCTGTAAGCGTAAAGGTAAAAGTTTCCCTTGCTCGAAAGCCAGTCGAATCTGACTCTAGGGGGCGGTGCTCATCTCTGTTTCCAAGCCGAAGAGCCAGTGCTGTCCGCAGACATTTCTGTGGTCATGTTACTGGCATGACTAAACATACAGAACTGGAGCCAGAACTGGCATGACTAAGTCATACAGAACGCGGTCACTTCCCACTGAAGCAGTGCCTGTTTATCTACTGGCAATTTCTTGCTTTTGAACTGCTAGGTTGGCAGGAGCTGGGACCAGAGATGGGAGCTCTCTCTGTCAGGCAGCACTAGGGTCTCGAACTGCCAAACTACAGACCTTCCGGTCTGTGGCTCAGCATCTTAACCTCTGAGCCGCCAGTAAGCATACAACTTCTAATTGTTGCCATATGGATAACAATCTTATGCAGTCATAGGGATCTGCAGGTTCAGGTTTGGAGACGGCCTTCTCCTCTGTCAGGCGGTTCTTCCGTTGCAGATTTCCACGTGACACCATATTGTACGCTCCCGGCTTCGAAACGCTCATCCTTTATTCTTGTGTTTCAACAGGTGCTAGATCAGAAACTTGCCCTTCTAGGTGGAAAGCTCTCCGATAGGCCCAGACAAACCTTAATCAGGTGTTCCTTCTTCCCCTCAGACCAAAATGGCTACCGTGACCCACACGTATTTCGTGGAAGGACAGACATACTCCGTCCCCCTCATCCAACCAGATCTCCGCAGGGAAGAAGCCATCCATCAGATAGCTGATGCACTTCAGTACCTCCAGACGATCTCGGCTGATATCTTCAACAGGTATGTTTTGGCCGTGCTGGCGGGTGCTGCGGGCTGTGAAGAAAGCCTAGAAAGCCGAGAACTGGGCTCTCTGCACTGGCTGGTTGTTTCTGAGTGACCCGTCTGCTTTTCCGGCGGTGGACCAGGAGACGAAAAGAACTGGAGCCAGAATTCGCCTTGATCCTTCCCGCCACCCACTCTTCCTCCGCAGAGCAGATGTGCGAGCTACAGCACAGCAAATGCAGGCCCACCTGTTCCCCAGCAGATCATTAGCACTAGGGGAGATTCTTACCTAGATAATTTCTGGGCACTTCCCCCCCCCCCCAGATCTTGTTTTCATCACCAAGCAAGCAGAATTCCCCCAGCAATACTCACGCGCTGGAAAGGAAACCAAGCCTCTTATATAGTTTGGCTTCTTTCCTGTAGAAATGGGGATGATAACCAAAACTGTGTTTGTGCTTGAAATACTTTATGGCCTGGCTCCAGCATAGTTCAAAGAGAGCCTCTCATAGAATCATAGAGGTGGCAGGGGCCATACAGGCCATCTATTCCAACCCCCTGCCCAATGCAGGACCAGCCTAGAGCATCTCTCACACTAGGAGTCCTCCCCCCCACACACACACTGATTAGGATAGTCTGATGTGTTGCTTTGGTGCACAGTCCTTTCTTGTGGGAGGCGGAACATCTGCTGGGGCTTGACAGCAGCTCGATTATGGAACAGTCATGCAGAGGGAGCGATCATTTATTGGTAGGTAAAGTCTGGGCAGTCTTATCAAATTGTGGTTGACGTAAGTACTGTATTGTAGGGGAGGGCAGACCTTGGTTCCTGGGAGCGTCTTAATTCTTTTTCAAGAGCCTTGGGAGCTACCAGTGACAAAAGGAGGGGTGGGTGGGTGGTGCTCATCACAAAATGTGTGTGTGTGGGGGGGTACGATGAGTGGAAGCAGTCACAAATAGTTACCTGTAAAATAAAATGCGCTGTTTCAGAGCAGGTCTGCAGTGTGCGTTTGGGGACACCTTTCCTTTGTTGTTTTTCCCAAAGCAAACAAACAACAGCAACCCAAAGTGTAACTTGTCCTGTAGGGGGGAACTATACAGTTGTCTCTATCACCCCCCCCACCACCAATAGGAGAATAGGTTTACTCCAGGGGGCTTCAGAGGGTAGCCATGCTGGTCTGCAGAGAGCCAGCGTGGTGTGGTGGTTAAGAGCGGCAGACAGCCTCTAAGCTGGAGAACCCGGTTTGATTCCCCACTCTTCCACGGGGTGACCTTGGGCCAGTCACAGTTCTCTCAGAGCTCTCTTAGCCCCACCTACCTCTCAAGGTGCCTGTTGTGGGGGAGAGTGTTGCGCTAGGCGTGTGGGTCTACCCAAAACAGCCCCTTAAGGACTTCCCAGCTTACCAGCCTCACCAGCTTTCCACTGCAGCCTTTGCTGTAGAGCCCCTTATAGTAACCACAATAAGGCAGTCCAGTGGTACACTATATACAAAGGCTTTATTTACAATATCCACAAGCAAAGTGCTACGCCAAGACATTCAGTACAAAGAAGGAGAATACATGGTAGCTGTACAATCACTTATATACAAAGTCCCACCAATCAGTGTCATGCTGAGTCACTGTGACTGCACACTGTCCAGTGCCAGTTTGAACCGGTTGGAACTTGTTCTATCCATCCACCTGCTGACAGGTAGCTGTCAGCTTAGATCATAATGATCTGTCTACTGGAGATTAACATACAACAGAGAGGAAGGGGAAAGGAGACTGTAAGCCACTTTGAAGCCCCTTAGGACAGAGAAAAGCGGGGTGTAAAAAACCAGCTCTCCTCCTCCTCCTGTTGCTGCTGCTGCAAAACAGTTCAGTTCGAATCCAGTAGCATCTTAGAGGCCAACAAGACTTTCAGGGTGTAAAGCTCTCGAGAGTCACAGCTCATTTTGTCGGACACAAGTAGAAACGGAAATCTCTGAGTCCTTTTATCCTCCTCAGAAGTTGGGAGGAGTGATTGCTGCGATTCAGCTCT